TTATAAAAACCAATTTTAATTTATATTCGTTTAAAGAATGTAATCACCTATATAACAAGATATTTCATTTAGTTTAAGTTTTTTTCTATTATATTTTGTACTAAAAGATATTTAAGAGAAGTTTTTTTGGATTTTGAGAAAATATTAAAATTTACATCAAAATTGTTGTAAGTCAAAATATATTTGTTTTTGTTCTTTATTAAAAAATACTTGTTTTATAAATATTAAACCAATATACAAATCAAACATGTTTATAGACGTGTAAAAACTATCTATAAGTATTTATATTTCAATAGAGAATGTTTTATATTTGATTCAAATGCTAAATTTTTGTTGCTGATTAATTTTGTACAGCAAGTCCTTGATTTTTATTGGATTTCGAACTTTTGGGGTTCTTTTAATTTTTTAAAAGAATGATTTTCTTGATAATTAAATATACAATATGTTTTTTTTACAGAACTAAGAATAATGAATCAATGCCTGCTGGTAGAATTGAATATAATAGATTATGTGATTAAATTATTTATTTTTTATTCATTTAAATACTTTTATGCATCTTAAAAAATAGTGTAAATATTTAGATAATGCTAATAATTCATCTTTTTAACATTTTTTTAAAAAAACAAATTTAAAGTTGGTATATCAACTTAAAATGATATTAGAAAGGCTATAAAAGAAAATTCTATGAATTCTTTCAATAAAAGACAAATTGAAATCTACATACAGCCAACTATAAAATATAAGTCAAAATGAAATCTTAATTGATATATAGTGTTCATAAATTATGTATTTAAAAGGTACCGAATATGTTACATTGTTCTGAAGAGGAATATAGAATACAAAGAGTAGATAATCATTGCGATCATTCCTAAGAAAATTACATTTCAAAGTGATCATTTAATATGTTTTTGAGATAGGTATACAGAAAAAATAATCAAGAAAGACACTTTTGTTGAAAAAAAAACGCGTGGGATGACATGAGAGTAGTAAGATATCTAAAAAAAGTATTAAATTTATTTATTTGCAGTTTATTCTTCTTTTTAACACTTATTTGTTGTTTTATCTCAAGTAGCTCTAATAACACATTTTAATATGTGCTATTTTTTGGTTTTTTTAAAGTGGTACTAAATCTATAAAAATTAATTAGTTATGGTGCATAAAATCTTTTTGTATTGAATTTTTTAATGAACTAAGCATTATAACTTTTTTTATAGTAAATAAATGTCAAAATTAAAAATTATTTTAGATAAAAAAATGTCATTTTGTCTCTTACTGATTATCTAGATAAAAAAAATATCTAAAAAATAATATATTGCGTGCATATTATACAAGAAACAATTTTATATTGTGAATTATTGAGATTTTAGTACGAGAGATTAAAATGGCTGCTTTTTTTATGTAAAATGAAGATAAAAAATTTAAAAAGATAACTTTGAAATAATATTTACACATATAAAATCTATATTTTTTATTAGTTCATCTTGGGTCAAAAGAAGCTATAAAAAACCTTTATCGATTATTTTATTTTTTAAAATTAAGAGAAAATCATAAAAACAAATAAGTTCTCATAATAATTTTAATTTAAAAATTCAATTTATAACTTATTTTTAAAAAAATATTTAATAATGTATGCAGTTTTTCAAATACAGATATTTTGAAGTTAAAATATTGGAAGAATTCTGTAAAAAAATTTTAATTCTGTAAATAAAATGTTAAGATAAGTATGATTATGAAGAAAATTTTGATATTATTTGTAGCAAAAGCATATGTTATAGTTTCTAAATGTTGTAAAAAATTTTATGTTTGAGACAATGAGTTTTAAAAAATACTAAAAAACATAATTTTGGAGCGCTAAAGTAACAACAAAATTATAATTTTAATTACACAATGAACATTCTTAACATACAATTCTTATATTGAATAAATATCAATTGATTAATTAACGACATGATAAGAACTTCATTAGTAAAAAAATATTATATTATTTAAATTGGTTGAGTGAGCTGATCAAAATAACTCTATATTTTCTTATTCACCACCTAATAAATTACTGTGAAATTAACAAAGAAAATTCTCGATATTTGTTTATTAAGCAAGGTTTAATTTTTTTCTTGTATTAGGCTTATTTATTAATTTTGACCAAACAATAAGAATATATAAGATTTATTGCTTGTTTGTTATTACGATTTTTATACCAACACACTGAAGCTTTGATGTTTTTTCTTCAAATTTTGATCAAGCATAAAAACCTTCAAAAATATCGAATCAAAAATAGTTTTTAGATAGAAAATACAAATAGGCATTGATAATTTAAAATTTAATGTCATAAAAAACCTTTTCGTCTATAAGTTTACTTTTTTAATTATTATTTGTTCCTTTAACAGCTACCTGTTTTTTATTACAGTTAAAAAAAAAACTAGATTGAAATTAAAAATTAAAAATTTAAACAAAAATATGGATTCAAAGCAATAATAATATTTTCAACACCCAATAATATTTTTTTATTATAATAAATTTTTCTAAATTTTTAAATGCGTTGTCTTTAAATAATTTTTATTTTCGATTCATGGAATAGATAACCTCACTTTTTATATGTATTTTTTATAATTGTAAGCTCTTTGATTTTCTGATCTGATCTCCAGAATTTTACCATTATTTCCTTTTCAGCATAAATTTAAATAAATATATTTAGATATAAAATATTTATGGTGAAATATATCAACAAAAGTCTTCTAATCAATATAACAGGTTTCGGTTATTTTCTGCATAATTTTGTAAATGTTTACATATAAATAGCTTTTTTACTGCAAAACCGTATTTAATCTGCTAATCTGCTATATTTTGTGATTATAAAAGTTCGAAAGTATGTGATGAAATGCTTTTATAACCACATTATTTATATCAAAATTATTATTTAGTTGTTAAACCAACCAAGATTTTAGTCTATCTATGAAAAAATCATTAAAGAATTGTTGTTATTTTTTAAATGGCATAAGTGTTTTCTTGTATAGAAAACCTATTTTTAAAGTTATAGACTTCATATTTATTATTTAAAATATGTTTTTTCGTGTTGATTTTTATATTAATGAGCAATTTCATTTATATAATATTCTATTGGAAGATATATTTTAGGTTATTAGTAAAAAATAGTTTATTTTACATTTATATTAAAAAATTTAAAACCGATAAATTGGTCCAATACCATCTAAAATAATTTCTTTCGTTGTAACATATTTGATCCACGACTAATAGTTGTCATTTTTTGATTAATTTTGTGTCGTTTTAATTTGAAAAGTGCTTATATCAATAAATGGAATTATCTATTGAGTATTTTTAATAATTAAATATGCAATAATATTGTTTATAATACCTTGAGTTAAATTAAATGGATATTTTTTTGGCACATATGATCTTAGATTTATTGATATTTTTTCAGAAAATTGGTATAACTAAATTTTTATAAAAGGTAAAAAAAAGAAATCAAATATATATGCCAAATAAAAAACACATTAAGTTTATTTATGATCGGTTAGTAACATATAAAATTATATTTTCGATTATTTTGAATATTTTTTATAATTTTTAATGAACTATTTGAATATATTTGATTGTATCTTAAATAAAATAGATAAAAGATTAAAATATATCGGAAATGTTTATTTTGTCGCATATTCTATGCAAAATTAACTAAAAATTTTATATTTGTCATTTTTATCAACGACCAGTGTGATAATATTTGATAAAAAAACAGAAATAAGTTGATCAAGTAAGAAAAAAGATTTAAGTTTGTTGGTAGTTGATACTGACAATCAAAATTTATGATTTGATGATTTATGCAGAAAATTTAACAAAAATTCATACCGATTGCTAAAGTAAATAAATTTGCTTAAAAAATAACAGATGTATATATTTTCTAATTATTCTAATCGCAATTCATCCAACATTGATACACGCGATTTTTTTATAAAATTGAATATGTGAATAAATTAGTATTATTAAGTTTTATTGTAAAAGAAAAAATAAAATAAAATCTTTATTGTAGGAAGGCAGGGCTTCTGGAAATTTATAATTTTGTTTTTCTTCTTTTCTACCATCAATTGCCCTAAGCGTCACCTTAAATAGGTAATTGTCACTACAAAAGACTGACAGTTAAAATACGTTTTATAACAATCACATCTTTAACTGAAACAACAAAATCATTTTACTATCATCATCCGAAACGAAATACTAAACTAATAATCAAAATAAATTCGTATGCAAATCGAAACCTGTCGATTTTATAAACGGGTATTGCAATAAATATCCAACAGTTTTATTTTCTAAATAAAATTGTTTTTTAATTTTTTTGTAAATTTTTTCAATGTGCAGATTTGTTGAGAATAAGAAAAATGAAATAGTGGAGGACAAATTTTACTTTGATAAATTTAAAATTTGGTGATTTTATTTTGATAAATTTAAAATTTGGTGATTTTATTGTTAGGACAGATGCTTGAAAAACATTATTTTACTAAAAGAATAAAATATTATCTGTATTTTAATTTTTATAAGTTAAAATGGTTTTTCGCCCAGTAAATTTTGAATTTTTAACAATTATAAATGAAAACAAGGAATATTCAATGTGTAAAATATAAATATGGTAGACATAGAATTAAATAATTATAAAATATTTTATGTAGAAAAACTATCTGAATAAAAATTTGAAAAAATAACCACTGTTTTTGATAATTAGTGATTGGTTTATTGAATTATTTAAATTTTATGATTTTAAAAGATTAATTGCAACAAAATATAATTATAATACAATTTTTGCTCAAATCAGTTAAAAAATCTAAAAAACTATAAAAAAATGTGCATTTATAATCATTTTCAAATTTGGCATGATAATAAAAGTATAAATGAAAAAAATATTTAAAAATTGTAAAGATATAAAATTTTTTTATTTAATAATAGAAGCATATCAAACTTACTTATTATTGCATTTAATATAAAAATGTAAAAAATACTTCTGGAAGGGATCGAACCTTCGCCCTCCGCGTTATTAGCACGGCGCTCTAACCTACTGAGCTACAGAAGCTTGTTCGTTTTGAAGCATGATAATATAATTATTTTGTTTAATATACTATTAAATTAAAGAATATTGATTACAAAACATATGTCTCATTATTAACCAGTAATTTGAAATCTCTTTCAAAATATTTCTTTTGCATTTATTAGGCATCATTGTCTATCAATCATTTTTCAAATCGGATGATTGGTCTTTATATCTTTGGAATGACTTCTTTTACTGTGATTTTGAAATGTTTTTGACATTTGGATATGAAAAGACATAAAACATCATTTTTTTAATTAACTTGAAGCAACGGTTTCATATTTTTGACGCAGACAATTAAATGTTCTTTTTAATTGGAAAGGCGCAAAATTAAAACAATTCAGTGGGAGAGAAGTAATCTGGAAAAAAACAGAAAAAAAGACAGACCCATATAAAAGAAAAAAATGTGTGCAAGTTTCAAAAGAGGAGCAGCAATATTACACAACGACTTACGACGAATTCAGTCTTCACCGAGCGAACATTTCAGCGTAGGCTGTGCTGACGATATTTACAATTGGGAGGTTGTTATCATTGGCCCGCAGGGTACTCCATACGAAAACGGTATTTTCAAGGCTATTATGAAGTTTCCAATGAGCTATCCTGACGACCCGCCTACTTTCACATTCAAATCAAACATGTTTCATCCAAATATTCATCCAACAACGTACGAGGTTTGTATTAGCATTTTGCACAAAAGCGGTGATGATGCGTTTGGCTACGAATCTGCCAATGAAAGATGGTTGCCTGTGAGAAACCCAGAAAGTGTTATTATTAGTATTCTCAGTCTCCTAAGTGCACCAAATGTCGATAGCCCAGCAGATTTGGATGCTGCTAATATGTATGTACGACATAGAGACGACTATGAGAAACTGGTCCGTAAAATTGCGCAAAAAACACTTGAATCAGAATAAAATATACATACTATTTTTTTTATTTCAATTTTGAATAACACAATTATTTTTATTTCATAGCTTCTATTCGAAACATACTTTAAAAAAACGTAAACTTAGAAAATGTTTTCTGTTATTTTTAACTTTTTATAATTTCTCTGTTTAGAATTGAAAAAATTCATGTCTTTTCAAAATATTTTAATATTCAATCATTGGTATGACAATATTATATAATGCTAAATACTATAAATAGATCTATTTTATTGCTATGGAATATTTAATTTGTTAAAAGAAAATTAAAATATTTATATACATAATTTATTTATTATTTCTTTTTGAACTAGAACCGATTGATTTTCTTGATTTAAATTTGTTTATTACAATATTTTAATTTCTATCAACATAATAAGTAATACAATTTTTCTTTTAAAATCAGCATTCCTTTTAAATATACAATGAAAATATGAAAACTGTCCACTATTCAAACAATCGATGTACTTTTATTAGATAGTAAAGGATGTTAAAGAAATAAAAAATTAGAAATCTTGTATATTATTTTTTTTCATTATACTAATTTTAGTAGACTGATAGTTAAAAAAAATAATAGAAAATCTTTAATATAACAAAATTCTATTGATTACATCATTAACAACAATTGATATGTATTATAGCAAAAAAAACATTAAAACATCATAAAATTATATTAAATAATTTCATTCTTTTCAGAAATGCATAGAAAAACCCAAAATTAGAAACAGGGTATTTTTCATAAAATTATGGATAAAAATGATTATATTATAATCTAAAAAGATTATTTTTATTTTTAAACCATCACTAATTGTCACATGTTTCAGTAAGATTAAAATTGAATTTTATAATTTAATTTTTTTGAGAATTTAGAACGTGCGTTTTCGAGTAATTTTTTGGTTTCCAAAAAACGCAACAATATTGTATAGAATTTTAATTTCGGGTTTCTCTAGTTATTTGGTATAACATGAAATATGAAAATTTTATTGTAATAAATGTTCGAGTTCGATCAAATAAAACATATAAGGGTGTTGATTTAAGATTCATTTATAGATTTATCTTTATAAATTTTTAGTCGCCAATTTTTTATTTGATATTTTAATATAATATTCATTTTAAGCTTCAGATGTTTTTGAACAAAAATAAATTTTTAAAATATTTAAAACTAAATGCTAATCTTTATTTTTGAAATTCAAAATAAATACATAAACACCAAATTTCATTTTGATAACGCCAGACCCAGTTTTTGAGCATAATTAGATTTTTTAATTTTTTTATATGGCATAAATATACTAATTAATTATTTAGGCATACCCTTAATTTCTTTGAAGAAAGCTGCGTTTTTAAACAAATGAATGCACAATCACACAACAAATTATAATTTAACACCACCAATATCTTAAATAACATCTAAAAACCAAGTCCTTGTCTCATATATACTTTTCCTAAAGTATTAAGAAACCGATGCTAAATAAATTCGGCAAATCAACAAATTATACATAAAATTTCTATATCTTGATAGACTTAGTGAATGAAATTTCACACGATGTAAAATAATTTTTCAAAAACTTTATGCTCCCTTTGTTTTTTATTTTACTTTTAAAATAAAAAAGAACTTACATTTTTTTCACTTAAATTAGAAAAAATAAAACACAAAACTAAAAGTTAAAAATAATCCACTTCCTTAGATTTTTATATTCTATTTATATTTGCGAATCTATATAGCTTGTATTTTTTAAATGTTAAAAACTAGTTCATAAAAATCTTTAAAGAAATTTTTATTTGCTTTTTAAATTAAAATCAAACAAGTTTATCTCAAAAAACACAATTAATTTTAATTTTACTATATTTTTTTAACTATATTAAAAACACCTAAAACACGGTTTTCTCGTTTTTGATTTTTTTTCACTCATTCGATACAAGATTGATGGCAAATATTCATAAGCTAATATTTTTATATCAAGTTGTAATTTTCTTAAAATTTGCATCCAATTTGTGTTCTTATATACTTGATATTCAAAACAAAAACAAATATTGAATCAATTTTTTTTCTGTATGAGTAAAAGCAATTTGAATCAATTTTGTAGAAGAAAAAAAGTCTCCTATTTTTTTCGAATTTTTCTAATGAATTCAACTTTAAAATACGAAATTCTTTTAATAAGACTACATATAATGTACAAAAGGGTGTCTCATGAGTTCTTTTTTTAAATTATACAACAAAGAAAATTTTGAAAATTAAAAATATAAAAAGCAGGCTTCAAAAAAGTAAATTTGCAAATTTTTATAATATTAAAATACCTATAAAAATGCGTAGAAAATTTAAATCTGATGACTTTAAATAATTAAAATGTTATGAGAATTGTCATGTCACTATAGTCTGGATTTGACTTAGTGAAGTGTTTTTTATTAAATTTCAAACATTTAATAAAAAAATTTAGGTTTTTATTAAAAATAAGATATTAAATTTATTAAATATTTTTAATAAATAAATATAGGATAAAAGAAATAAAAAATAATTAAATAATACTTCTTTAATGAAGTTTAGAAGAAATTTTGTGAATTTTTAATTTATATTTTTATTGTGATGAATTTAATATTTTATCAAATAAAAATATATAAACATCTGGAAATGAAAACACATGAAGAAATTTCAGAATAGATATCAATTTGTAAAAAAATATTCAAATCGTGCCAATTCCGATTTCTAAAATATTTATTCTATTCATAAAAATACATGCAAATAGTTTAATTAAAAAATATTAGCTGAAATTAACATTTTAATAGTAGTTACATTTATGGAAAAATAAAAAAAAATCTTACAAATTTTTTACAAGATACACTACTATATTTATTTTTCAGAAAATTGCTCGATAATTATCAAATTAGAAATGTATTTCCTTGTGTTGTTTAAAAATATAAATATATATTATATCAGCCGCAATGCAAAATATTTTAGCACAAACTAAATTTATTAATTACATAACAATCAACTCATATAATTCATAAAATTAAAATATATTTGAAAAAAATTAATATACAAAAGAAAATCATTAGATATCAAACCTATCTATCCAAAAAACATAAATTCTAAAGGTTTTTTATAGCTTTATGCAGTAAAATTGGGAAGAAAAAAAACAGCACATATTAATTGTAAAACAATAAATTATGACTAAATTTTGTATTTAGAATTGTGGTTATAAAATTTAAATCAATTTAAATAACAAGATTTACAATATAAAAATCGATGTTTGATTTGCCGCGTAAAATTTTTCTATAATATTGTTGTAGATAACTATCATCGCAACATAAAATAAAACATGCTTTATGATATGCGGAAACAAATGGTTTTTACAGATAACATATCAAGAAAGACTATCCGAAGTTTCGCCAATAAGCAATATAACGAATCTTTCTAGTTCTTGTTGTTATCAAGCATGAACCGAGTAAATAATCAATGCTTGTTGAGAACATACTAAAATTATATGATTATTTTAAAAAATAAATAGATGGATGAAGAAAATCAATTACAAAAAAAATTATACATACCATCTTTTTCTAGTAAGAGCGCGCTAAATCTATATGTTAAATATTTTCTAACCTCTTCGTTCATATCTTTCTTTATCAAGAATTGATCACTGCAGATTCTACAGCTTTTATAAAGCATATTTTCAAACACTTTTTTATATTTTTTTCTATAAATCTAGAAGGCATTAAATATTTCAAAATACATGGTCATAGAGAGTTTTATAAATCATTTGCAATCTTTAAAATGTTTAATTTGATTTTTTTTCTCATTAGACGTATTTTTATGATTTTTTTATATTTAAGAATTCGCTTATATTTGTTGTTTAACGAAGTCACAATTTAGTAATATTAACTCTTTATATTTTTTGAAAATGAAATTCATATTTACAATAAATAATATGAAAGAACAAAAATATTGTATTTATATAAAAAATATTTTTATAATTTTTTTTGTTTGAACAAAAACGTAAAAATGGCGAAGAAATAAGTGTGAATTTATATATCAAATGTTGCTAGATGCAATAACTAATCTATTGATTTGCA